TCAAGACAATCATACTTGGGATATTGTTTCATATTCTACAGGCATTAAACCCATTGGTTGTAAATGGGGTTATTCTCTTAAGCTCTGATGCTCTGATCTGATGGCTCCCTTGTGGTTATAAATGGGGTTATTCTCTTAAGCTCTGATCTGATGGCTCCCTTGACAGATATAAGACAAGATTGGTAGCTCTTGGCAATCGACAGGAATATGGGATTGATTATGAAGAGGCCTGTGGCTAAGATGACAATTGTTTGGCTTGTTCTATCTATTTCTACATCTAAAGGCTAATTCTTACGACAAATGGACGTTAAGAATACATTTTTGCATGGGAACCTCAAAAAAGTTATCTATATTATCCCTCCTTCAGACTTGTTTTCTACACCCTCACATGATGTTTGTAAGCTCAAATAAGCTCCACGAGCATGGTTTGAAAAGTTTCTCAATACTCTTCTTAGTTTTTTTTATTCAAAATCGGCATGATTTTCCATTATTTATTTGCAAAACTGACAAGGGAATCTGTTGTTATTAGTCTATGTTGATAATATTGTCATCACAAGATTTGATACTCATTTGATGTCTCAGTACATGAGCATTTTCAAGGTTCTTAACTTATTTTTTAGGTCTTGAGGTTCACTCTTCTCCCACTAATATTTCTCTTCATCAATATAACTGTACTAAGGAACTCATTGCCTTAGCTGGTCTCCAAGAGGGTCTTCCTGTTGATACTCCTTTGGAAGTGAATGTTAAATATCAATGAAATGATGGCGACTTTCTATCTGATTCATCAATGTATCGAGAACTTGTTGGGAGTCTCAATTATCTTACTATTACACGTCCTGATATTTCATTTGTTGTGCAACAAGTTAGTCAATTTATGCATGCACCTACACATTTTCATTTAGCTGCAGCTCGACATATTTTTATTTCAAATGTACTTTTCATTGTGGCTTGTTCTTTTCTGCGGAGTTTCCTATTAGCTTAAAGCCTATAGTGATGTTTATTGGACAGACTGTTCTGATACACATTGATCTATTATTGGTTGGTGTATGTTTCTTGGCAAATCTTTAATTTTTTGGAAAAGCAAGAAACAAGATTGAGTGTTTAAGTCATCTATTGAGTCATAATCTATTGAGTCTGAATATTGCGCTATGTCATCTACTCATTCCGAGATCATTTGGCTTCGGGGTTTGTTGGCTGAGCTTGTCATCTATTGAGTCTGAATATTGCGATATGTCATCTGCTCATTCTGAGATCATTTGGCTTCGGGGTTTGCTGGCTGAGCTTGATTTTCCTCAACTTGAGTTTACTTCTTTTTATGAAGATAATACTAGTGTTATCTAGATTACTGTTAATCATGTCTTTCATGAGCGCATGAAACACATTAAAATGGATTTTATGAAGATAATACTAGTGTTATCCAGATTACTGTTAATCCTGTCTTTCATGAGCGCATGAAACACATTAAAATGGACTGTCATTCTATTCGAGAAACCTATGATAATGGTGTTATTTTTATTTCTCATATCCCTTTTGATCTTCAAACTGCTGATATATTTACTAAGGCTCTTTTTCGGCAGTGTCATCAGTTTCTTGTTGAAAAATTGATGTTTCTTGTTGAAAAATTGATATTTCTTGATCAGTCAATATCAATTTGAGAAGGGATATCAATTAAGAATAACGGAAATCAAAGAGTTGAATTAGGAGTCTCATATCATTAGGGGCATCCTTATTTAAATTATTTTCAATTTCTCTTTTCTGATTTATTTCTCTTAATTGTACTTATTCTCTCTTTATTTAGATTAGGAATATTTATTAGGTTACCTAAACGAGATTGTACAAACTATTATTTATTGGAATAAAAGAAAAGGAAAAAACAATTCAGCCTATTTGCTTAAAAGATTGACAATGATACACCTCACATTTTTCTGTAGCTGTCCCCTTATTGCTAACATTCTCCATGGCGCCCTACACAATTAAAAACAACTCATTTCGTCAAGTAGTTGGAGGCGATGTGCCCAAATCTGTGGCATTTAAAACATTTTTTGGCAGGAACTGTAGTTGGCTTGCTACTCTTATCACGCTTCCTCTCACTCGGGTTGGCTTTATCCTTGTCCAAACCAGTTTCTAAACGTATTGAGGTGTGTTCCTGCTGGTGTAGCCAACTGTGGATGGTTGTCTGATTGATGGCGGTTGTCTGCTCTATTTCTGCTGTCTTTCCACTTTTAGTGCTAAGGTTTGGACATCCCCAAGTGACCAATAAGGTAGTAGCTATACCACCACATTGTTGATAGTGGGCTTCAGGCCCTTGAGGTACCAAGCTACAGTGTGCTCCCTCAGCTCGTTCAGCTAACATTTCATCTGTAAGTGGTCGAACGGAGTTGTAAACTCCATCGAAAGTGTCGTTGTTACAGGTGGCAGAGCCTTAGAAACATGTCCTGACATTAATGAGGTGAAAGGTACGTCTTGATCATTAGTTTCATCTTCTCTCATTTGGTAATCTTATCACCACTTTCTCTTTTCCTTTATCGTTGCAAAATTTCCCACCTTAAAGAGGCGCTTTTTTTCAACTTAATTGCAGCTAACTTTATCCGCTTATTCTGACACATCTTTATATTTGAAGATCCATTTAACATATTGTAGTCAATCAATAAATTCATCAGGATGCATACCCCCCTCAAACTTTGATAGATCCACCTTGATTATGTGGTCTTTGTATCCTCCAACTGATGTCTCCTCTCTAGGCCTCCACCGATATTGTCTTCCGAAACAATGTGGCCTTTCATCTTCATCATTGAAATCCTCCTTATGGAAGGGGTTAGAATTTTTATCCTTTTCTTTTCTTGGACTCTCCTTGTCACCATCAAGGATAAATCCCTCTTGGAGGTCATCCTCAATCTCTGTCAATCTCCACTGAAGTCGGCGGATCTCTCGTTGTATCTCTTCTCGGGTGGGCTCGGGTATGTATCTCCTTGGTGGCATGACTAGCGTTTGGAGTGAGAGGTGGAAGAGTGCGAAAAAGAATGATTTATGGTTGATTTTGAAAATCAGCAAGGGGAAAATAAAGTTATGTCAAAGTTTAGGCTATTATTTGAGAATAGTAAAGAAATTGTTTAGTAAAGGAATAAGGTGGATGTTAGGAAATCCTAGGAAAGAACTAGAGTTAAGCTAGCTTTGATTCCAATTGATACCGAAGTTAACCCAAAATTATAATAGAAATGCAAATTTTATTGCTAAAATTTAAAAATGTTACAATCAAGACTCTTGCAAATAAGAAATGAAAGACAACAAACATAAAGGGACACCCTAGGGTGAAGACAAAAGGGCGAACACCGGATGGACAACACATGGAGGGACTGGTTGGGGGCTTGCGGCAGCGTGTGTGGGAGAAGGCTGCGACAATAAGTGGGTTGTGGAGGGAGTGTTATAGTAGTAGGGAAGGAGGGGTCAGGGGTGAATTACGGTAGTAGGAGGGCAAGATGTGGCAGGAAGGGAAAAGTGCCCAAGTAGTAGTAGTTGGGATGGATTTGGTTGATTGGTGTGGAGAAATAGGGGATGGGTAGGGGAGGTTGGTGATCGGCTGGGAACAATGGGTGGTGGGAAAAGAAGCTGGTGGGGAGGAAGACTGGCTGGAGTGGGCGTATGGGAGCAGCGGGTAGCAAGAACTACAAAAACAATGTCAACAAACAGTAGCGGCTACAAGTAGGAAAGTTACGCCGGGAGGATGGCAGTGAGCAAGAAAGGGGTGTAGGCAGGATGACAGCGAGCAGTGTAGGGGAGGATAACTATCCCCATGGGCGCAAGTTACAACCGAACCTTTAGATACAATCACCACCTCGAACGAGTTATAGTCGGAGCACCTCATCACCTTCGCATAGTCTCCCACTCCTAAGAAGACCGCCCGATCCAGTAGGAGTTGTATCAGGATCTATCCTAGCCAGTTTAGTCGGCCATCTAGCAAGGATAGATCCCGGTACAGCCTCCTAAACCCGTGTTCTGCCACCAAAGCCCTGTGTCATCAACCTTCATTTTCTTCTTTATTTTGAAGAAAGAAGACTTCTGATAATTTTTTGAGTCTCTGTTTTCTCCTTGTGTTTTGGTTCTTGCATCCAATGGCCATCATCATCACATTGACGAAGTGAGATCAGCGACTGACACAGATAGAGTTTATTTACAAATTGAACATTAAAGTCCTGAGTTATACTTCATTGGTATTTATAGCTCCCAAAATTTACTCCTAACATGATCACCTCATGATGAAACTTTGTGATATATTTTTGCATAAATTATCCTTGACGTTGCCCCAGACTAAGCCAATTCTTTCGTTTATCCTCAAAAGCATCCATAGGGCAGAACTTTTGGTGTAGAAATTGCTTTAATATCCACAAGTCTCCTCTTGATGGCATGGAATCACAATGCTAGACCAAAATGTTTAATTTGCAACCTTCTCATAGGTGCCATGCACATAAAAGTTGAGTTCCATTTCCACAACTAATCAATTAATGCATCCATCTTCTTGGTATCAATGTTTTGGTCTTTCTTGTTTTCAATGCAACCATAATACAAGTGGTATTACCTTATATTTATATACCCTCTCTGCATCGTGCATGCGAACTAATATAAATAAAGATCCATTTACAGGAGTTCGATGTTCTAGTTAGTCAATTAATAATATTTTCTGTGACAATCATACCGCCATTTAAATTATTAGCAATCATGTGTGAGATGAACTAAGCATATTGAAGTTGATTTCGTGTCCTCATATTTCTAATTCAGATCAAATGATTGACATTTTTATCAAAGCTCTAAAACATTTATATATTTCCAATGCACTCCTTCGTTTATCATTTTGATGCAATGTTTGCACCATATTCGATAATATTCATATTTATTGATCCCAACATAAGCTTTTCATAAGCTGTAAAGAACTGTTAAAAATGCAACAAAAAAAAAACTCAGATTTAAGAATTATGTTGCCTGGAGTATAGTTTTTCATTACATACCTCTCCAAAAGCATTGCTGTATCCCTTCCGTTGTTAAACCTAAAATTTCAGTTCATTCTCATAAAGTCAATATATCATAGAAAAAAAATATTGCATAAATACTCAATAAGCGCAAAAATTTTGTTTCAAACACCTCGAAATATTGTAGGTATTGAGGTTCCAAAATAAACAGTCCTCCTAGGCAGATTCCATATCCAGTCTCTTGGAACATAAATTGGGTCGCAGCTTGAATGGTGATCTGCAAATACCTGCATCAGAATTAACCATCAACATTTCAATCTATAGCGTATAGAACAGCAGACTTGAATGCCAAATTCTGCTACTTCTTTTGAGCAAATCTTCACCTTTCTATAGCTAGAGAGAATGAAGAGTAACTCATCTTATTAAGAAAGGTTTAGCATATAACTGCATTTCTTTCATTTGACTACAAAAACTTTAAGCCATAGTCGCAGCTGATCTTATATGCAATTTGTTTAAGTGTTGTCATTACTCAACTTTTAATTATGCTGAATTTTGTTTTTTTCTAATAATATGTAAGAATTTTTAACCAAAATTCTACAAATTTTAAGCCATACATCTATACTACTATTTAAAAAGTGACATTTGATTCTACCAATATATGATTCTAACATTCCAATTTTTAAAAATAATCACATCCGTTCATAGACTTCCACTGATATTAAATCCTTATTTTGAATTCTAAGAGCTAAGTAGAATTCTAAGAGTTGGAATTCAAAGTATTAATTTCTATTATGAATATATTAATCATGCATATATTTCATATACGAAGATTAATGAGAATATCAATGGTCAATTTCGATTTAAGTAGTGACACTTGAATCAGTTTTGCCATAACTCTTTATTTAGAGTTGTCTTCTAATAATTTTCGTTTTTGAAGAGCCTAGATAGTATTAATTTAGTCCCGAGATTCCTTTAATGTAGGCTGAAAAAATCCCCATGAAAGCCTTTTTAAGCCCTTATTAGAAAGGTCTATGGATTAATTTGGTATTTTTATGGAGTCTGGTACTCTATATATATATATACATATATATACATGTATATATACATATATATACATGTATATATACGCATAAAAAATAAGCTAAGCTATCTGAGCATATGAACTCCTTCAAAATCTTCTTTTCCTCTTTCTAGGTTTTTTACTTAATTATTCTATTTATCATTTCTCTTAACTTTTATTACACTTGCTTTCTTTTTTTTTAAAATAATTTAATATTTGAAAGAAAATTTAATATATTTATATATACATATGTTTGTGTACTTTAACACTTTAGAAAACCTTATCTCTATAATATAACAAAAATTAAATATTAATATGATATATATATAACTCAGCTACAAATTTCTTAAAGGTTCGACTATTACGATTATCGAAGAAATTTAAGAAAAAATTTTATTTCACACACTAATAAATCACACCCACCCTAATAAATGTAATAGAGTGGCCAGCATACCAGTCTACAAAATAGGATAATGAATCCCTTTAAATTAAGAATCCCACAAAAATAGGAAAATAATAAAATATGAAATATCTAATAAAGGAAAAAATAAATATTAAAATATATTATGAATAAAGGAAATAAATCTCTTTCTGATCAAGCAACACAGATTTACTACTTCCTACACGTCCCCTGAAGCTGGGTTGTACATAAACCAAACTTGAAATTCAATTTATTATGGGTGATACTTCGGTGAGAATATCAGTAATATAAAGTCTTCTTGAAACATAACATACCTAAACAATTCCATTGTTCACCTTTTCTGAGAAGAAGTGTCAACTAATTTTGATGTATTTTATTTTGCCATGGTGCACAGTGCACACAACTTTTTGCTATATTAAAAATAAATTGATTGTCACTTAACATCTTAATTGTATTTTTTGTCTCATTTTTAATTTCCCTTAATAACCTTCGAAGCCACATTTCCTCACATATTTCTAGTGTAAGAGCACAATATTCAAATTTTACACTATTCTGAAAGACAACAACTTATTTTTGCTTCTCCAAGTTTTTAGATTGCGCCAAACATATGAACAGTACCCATCGGTTGATTTCCTATTAATTATCTCTCATGCTTAGTTAACATTTTTGTATTTCTCAATATCACAGTTTTCAAATCTTTTGAAAAACAAACCATATCTAAAAGTTATCTTTAGGTATCTTAAAATTTTTTTCATCACTCTCAAATGATATCTAGATTATTCATTTTTTAACATACTACACTGACTGAATATATAATATCAAGTCTTGTGTGTGATAGATAAAGTAGCTTGCTCACAAGCCTTTGATAACTTCGTTTGTCAACTCTTCTACTTTTTTCAATTTTGTATAACTTTTTTGTTGGGACTCATAGGTGTGTTAGCAGATTTACACACAAGCTAGTCAGTTTCACTTAACCAGTTTAAGATATATTTTCTTTAGTATATAGTAATTTCCTTTTTAGATTGAGTCACCTCTATTCCGAAAAGGTATTATAATCTCGAGATTCTTGATTGTAACTCCCAAATTTCAAGATGTCAGGTAAAGTTCGGCATAATTGAAAATGTACCCCAAATATTTTCATCTCATGGAATTTGATTGAATTTCATAAAAATCTATACATGAAATCGATCAATTCCATATAAAATACTATATGTTAATTATGAACGGAAATAATGAAGTTATACGTTTAATTAATTTAATTATCCTAATTTCTTCCTTAATCATGTATCTTTCACATAGGCACTGTTCCCAACCAACTTATTTTGCAATTTTGAGTCGTTGGATGATGCAAATGGTTGAGATCCATTGGGATTTCCTTAAGTTTCGCATTAATCCCCTATTCCTATCTCAATTTCACTCAACGACAAGGAATCCACGACCTTGCACTATAGTAGACGGGAATCGACGGGCAACCTAGTGTTGCAGAGCACTATCCGGGGTTCCAGGGTGAAATCTTATGGTACGAATCCCTCTCTTTTGTCGTTTGAGACTTTCATTTATTTTCTCGCCCTTCTGTTTTGACATTTACCTCATTTTTTGTGTTTTCTCATTTCTAGCAGCCGTTAGAGGCGTTGAACGTGTCGGAAGCGTTGAAAGTGATTTGAAAGCTTCAGTACGGGTTTTAACATAAAATCAGTGAGAGGAAAGTGAAGAATAAGGTGTTTAGAAGAGTTGGGGGATATTGGTATTTCAGAAAGGTGAATTTATGCCAACAGGCACTTTTGAGGTATGTTTTGACATTTAATGCATGTTTTGGATTAATGCATTTTATGAGTCAAATTTTACGAAACCCTATGTTAGCTACGAGCCTCGGGTAATCTATACAAGGTAGTGAACTGGAGACGAGCGTGAGGGTACTCGTCGTAGGGTTGTTCAGTCAAGTCAGGTGAAAGGTGCTAATTTAAGAAAAATAATATTATATAGGTTTTCATATGATTTCTATTTTGACACGTGCATTTAGAGCTTCCTGCATATTGTAAATAGATTCCTGCAATTGAAATTATGAATGCACGTTAACTTTTCTTATGATGTATATACTGTTATATGATCAAACAATGCTACATATGACTATATATATGATATGAATTTTTTGCAGGTATTCATTTTTTATGCCTCAAGCCAATGCCTGTGATACATACAATACGTGATAAATGTTTGATGCAAGAGTGATGATTTAATGTCACAAGAAATGTTAGGGGATAGACTTACATGAGTGCTTGCAAATATATTATGCAAGAATAGTATTCTCGACTCCTGATATTTATACAGGGATGAAATTTTGAAAACCATTGGAATTATGCGGTGATAGACGTTAGGGGACCGTGAGTATTGGGGGGTTTGTCGATAACTGCTATGTTGAGGGAAGTCCAACATTTATTGATAATTTATATGGTCTTTGGGGCAGGGTGACGACCATGATGAAAGAATATAGAAATACTTTAATCTTATACATTAAAAAAGTGACTATTTTGATATAACCTCTATGAAATGACATTGTTAAGATAATATACTAGGAAAATGCTTATTAACATGCTTTTATTTATGATTTCAGGCTTACGACCTGTATGTTATACTATAGTTGATTTTTATACTATATGTACGTGCTCTCTTTTCACGTTCTCTAGTATGTTAGCATGTTATGATTTATGTGTAGAGATGTATCATTTCATACGAGCATGCACATTGTTTCTTTTTCATATATAAAATCTTATATATTAGTCATGATTATTTCTCTGAGCTCGTTGTTGCTCATTCTTCATTGTTGCTTTTTAGGCAGAGGCAACGAGCACTGAAGCGAGTAGCCATAAGTCTTTGTACAGCTTTTACACGATAGTTTTGGGAGCTTGTACATATGTTTTGAAGTCTTTGTACAGCTTTTGCACGATAGTTTTGGGAGCTTGTACATATGTTTTGAATATGTATGTTTTATTTATATTGGATTTAACAGCTTTGTATAGTTTTCATGTTTTGGATAATATGATTTACATGCTTCTGAGTATGTATATGAAATATGATGTATCACGTATGTTGTGGAGAACTAGTTATAGATTAATTCACCTCCCTCTGGGTCTTGATTATAAAATTCAGGACGAGTGTTGGTGAGAATTTGTCTGACCAAATTGTCAGTTTCTGTCACACCATGATTTACCCTACCAAAGGGGCCAATTGGGGTGACAGAAAATGGTATCAGAGCATGCTTATTAGATGAAAAGAATGATGGAAGTGTTTTAGATTTAGAATGAGAATGAGATTAAATATGAATTGATTTATACAGAGTTATAGTTTGACGAATATGGGTGAGTAACGCTTACGAATTAAGGTGTCAAGTGCGCGCGATAATGATAAATTCCATTTAAGGCGTCACAAGTGCATGATAAAATTATTATATGATAAATTGCATTTAAATAAAAAATTATGTCAATACAGATAAACATGTCTGGAGAAAAATAAAAAAATATTGAAGATAAATCTTGTAAGCAAAGTGCAGAGCACGAAATTATAGCTAAAACTATTTTGGGCAGAAATCAAAATCTGAACAAAATAAATGATGACACTAGAGCTACTGAGTTACAGGATATAGTGCAGTTGATATCACAATTAGTTGATAAAATCGTTGTTATCGAAAGATCCTCCAGCAGCACAGGACCCAAATCGTGCACTGATTTGGGTCTATATATTAAAAGACAAATCTGAAGTTACGGTTACATTCAAAAATTTTCACCCCTTCATTTTGACCCAATTCAAAA